ATTGATTACTTGCAGAAACAGTTGACAAAACTGTTAATATTAGAGATAACAAAGATATGACAAAATTGAAAGTGTTAGCCATCGAACAAGTTTGAAATGAAAGTGAAATTTAACTAGACATATAGTCGCTTTAAAACTACTACAAAACAGTCATTCAATCATTTAAAATATGATTAAATCATTTTTTGAGCAAAAATATAATACATTAGGAATAGAGCAACAAACACCATGTCAAACATTTATTTAAATTAAGAATTTTTAGTATTACCATAAAAATATATGAAGTTAATAATGACAAATAATAAAAAAATTATTATTCTAAATGTAAGGATTAATGAGTTACACTGGTTTATATTCTTATACTTTAAACCTAAATTAAAAGAAAACTACTCGAGATTTTTGATTAGATTTTTCACTAAATTATAGAGATATATGAGTTTTTAATTGAACTAACAAATGTTTTATAAACAATTAATTTGTAACGGAAAATGTTTAAAAATTATAAACATGAATTCAATGGTATTACCCTTCTAGACCGTAAGGTATGAAAAGTTGGTTTAATAGCTTCATTAGTCTACTATAAGTTAGTGAAGAGAAACCTTACGGTCTCGAGGGGTAACAAGGTGAGTTTTGCAAATAAAGATTTTTGACATGCACAATTTTTCAAAACTTGAACTTATCCTCTAGATCGATTCCCCTTTGAAAAATAATTTTTTGGTGGTTGAACCCAAAAATTACGTTTTAACAAAGATCGTTATTTATGGATGAAAATAATTTTAAATTACAGTATTTTCAAAACTGATTCTAAAAATCGCATTCTAAAATTTTTCTGTCCATAAATAACGAAGATACGCTTTGACGTCATTGATGGATTTTGAAATTGAAATTTTATTTTTTGATGGGGAATTAAGTTAGTGGGTTGGTACAATGTTGAAAAAATAGCTGAAAAGTTAGTCTGAAAATATACGGCAAACTGTAAGAAATGGGTGTATTTTAAACGTAAATAACTTTTTAACTATTGTAGTCATAAAAATAATTTTTGCATATTTATATATCATTTAGCAAACTTATCTTATGTTGTAAATTTCGCTAAATTATATTGACAATTTGTAAACTCTTGACATAGTGAAATAGTTTTATAATTTAAAAATAATTTATTTTAATATTCTCAACTTCAGAGTCTGAACAAATATTACAACTTTTTGATATGTCTTACTCAATTAGAATATTTGTTCAGGATTAAACCATTACGAACACAAAAAATATTTGAACGATTTTACTTAATGTAATAATTTATTCATTGATAACTTTACCTTTCTTATAAAAAAAGTATGGTTTATTAAATTTAAGGTAGTAAGTTTTTATTTTAGTAATTTTAATAACAATGAGTTGTTAATTAATTTAAGATACTAATTAATGGTTATATTTTTTAACTTACAGTACTTAAAATGGTAACATCTACGATAAACTAAAAACATGAATACAGTATCTGTGACTTGAAATTCAATACTTATTAGATTGACGTTTACAGTGCTTAAACTTGATAACTTTTTTAATTTAATAGTCAGTGAGAATTAAACACATTGTAACTTATAAACGTTTTGTGGTCATTTTATATTGGGGTACAAATAATATTACAGTTAGTTATCATCAAATACATATACAGTAATATCAAGTATTTAACATTTCAATGTTCATGAATAAATTAATAAAAACATAAAAAATAAAATATGATATTAAATATTTCTATTAAATTCTGAATTAACATTATGTTGAATAAATTACTATAAGATTAAAAACTTAAATTATGATCCAAATATATAAATGAGATATCTTGTTTGTAGCAAATCCAAATTGGTCCAAATTTGATCACTATTTTAGAAATTAATTTTTACCTGTAAATTATTAGATAAAAGTCACATAATTATATTAAATTACTTCAAAGTTAAGGGGATGCTGCAGTTGATGGCCTATGTGTTGACTGAAATACAGTAATGCATGGACTTTGCTTATAATTTAATTTAAATCCACGACTACTGAGTAAACCATTGGAAACAAATCTTGCAATAAAAGGACCAGTTCTGTGCAACAAATTTATAATAAGACAATATAATACAGTATTTGAGCGATTGGTAAATAAATACCCCTGATCTGTGACGGCTGCAGAACCACTAACAGTTGCCTGATGTAAAGCATCTTCATTCAATTGATGTCCACAAAAGCGAATTCCGTTTAATTGTAAATAGTCTTCAGTACATTTGACAGCACCCGCACCCGCCTCACCAGCTTTGATACTGGAGTTACGTATAGAGAATTGGTTGTCTTGGTCTGAATGTGTTGCAGCGGAAGTGTTGGGCACCGAATAGGTTAGAGAGCAATAGTATTGCTCTTTTCTAAAGCATATACTATAGTCTATAAATTAAACAAATTAAAAAGGGAAAAGAAACTACAAAATTATAAGAAAACCTAAATTATTGAAATATCCGACGCCTTTAGAATTTGAATCAGTGTTCGCTTGCTTTAGGAAATCATAGTTAAAACTCATGATAACTCCTGTCGGGCCCACAAAATATTGCAAACAATTCGGTGGAGCTATTCGTGCAAAGTTGTCATTATTTTATTAAATATTAGAATAACTTTAGAAAAAGGAAAGTGTTAATTATATTGTATAAAATACTTGGTGAATTTATAGAAAAATGTAATTTATTTCAAATTTCAACAGATTCAACAGAAAATAAAATTGATACTAACAAGAATTGAAAAGTAGCTTACAGTAGGTGCGATTGAAAACAGTGAACTTTATTTAAATTGAATTAAAATGAAAATTATTAAGTTTTTAATTGTAATTTAGAACCTCTCGAGGGATTCATGCATTCAATTTGTGACACAAGAATATTCCATCGCCTCTGTGCCGACCCCTCTGTTCGCACGTTCAGAATGATAGGCCCCTGAACCCCATCCACGTCTATGTATACTAAATATAAATAACAAATTANATTTCAAACTTGTTCGATGGCTAACACTTTCAATTTTGTCATATCTTTGTTATCTCTAATATTAACAGTTTTGTCAACTGTTTCTGCAAGTAATCAATGAATTATAAAATGTTATTTAATTTCTTAAATGAATTAATGACTCAATTCTGTGACATAATAGTCGGTAATCTTCTACTAAGTTCTGGTCCGTCATGTGCGGTATCAACACTTATACCCGGAATACCAAATCAAACGGTTCAGACCATGAAAGGAACTTGCTACTCGAGTCTTATTTGTAGACAACAAGGTGGGGTGTCTATTGGTAGATGTGGTGTCAGTAATGTATGTTGTGTTTGTAAGTATTTTATATTAAATAAATTGCTTTTTATAAGCTAAATATTTTTTAAATATAAATAATTTCTGATAAGTCCCGAGAACTTGTGGAGGTATAGCCGCACAAAACTCCACTTACTTCACAAATCCCGGATTTCCCTCGGCTTACAATAATACCAATACGTGTTCACTTACTATAAATAAGATTCCAGGAGATAATAAAATATGTCAAATAAGGTCTAATAATTGTTAAAACTATTAAAATTGTGATTAAATGTTTATTTTGTATGTTATTTATTATAAGACTTGATTTCATGGACTTTGAATTAATGCAACCAAATGACGGCAACTGTGATAGCGATCGGTTTATGATAACCGGACAGAATCTGAATTCAGTTGTGCCACAAATTTGCGGCTATAATACTGGACATCACTGTATATAATATTATATGTTGATAATAAAATGATAATTTGTTATTTATATTTAGTATACATAGACGTGGATGGGGTTCAGGGGCCTATCATTCTGAACGTGCGAACAGAGGGGTCGGCGCAGAGGCGATGGAATATTCTTGTGTCACAAATTGAATGCATGAATCCCTCGAGAGGTTCTAAATTACAATTAAAAACTTAATAATTTTCATTTTAATTCAATTTAAATAAAGTTCATTGTTGCACGAATAGCTCCACCGAATTGTTTGCAATACTTTGTGGGCCCGACAGGAGTTATCATGAGTTTTAACTATGATTTCCTAAAGCAAGCGAACACTGATTCAAATTCTAAAGGCGTCGGATATTTCAATAATTTAGGTTTTCTTATAATTTTGTAGTTTC